TTCAGAGTTACAGACAGACTGAATTAGCCTAACATTATTGAAAGCAGACATGTATTTTCACTTACACTTGTTGCTATGGATTTCTCTCCAAGGGCAGAAGCGAGCCTGGCTAGCTCCATCTTTGAGTAGTCCAGTGCTTGGAGAAGAAGGTCCCTTGACTTGAGTGCCTGATCAACTTTCCTCTTGTACACATCCAAGCATTCCTGATCCAGCTGAAACAGAACCTTGTCGCGGTCCTCATCGTTCTCACCAACTTCATCCCATACTAACTGAAAATCCGAAAACAGAAAACAAAGAAGAAATGTCACCTTACCATCATATCAGATGCCAAATGAAAGAATCTGCTTTTTTATGGCATTATAAAGTAACGAGCAGCCTGAGCATGTACCTGCAGTTTTTGTAGCAATGATCCACACGAGGTTTGGCCGTGCAAAGCGTCCATTCCAGAATAGACGAATCCTTTCGTTGAGGGCTGAAGGATATATGACTAGAGAAGTCTAGCTTATGGTTACGGCGATGACGAAATGTGCTTCTGAACTTCCCAACGCCAATGCTTAATCGAACAGCGCCTGCTGGTTGAGCATTCAAATCAGTCGGAAACAAATAGATGGTGAAACTAAAGACACACATGGGCATACCAGCTAGTACTACCGAACTTGACATGTCCACCCTAAATTGGCAGGCATTCGGTTAAATGTTAATTACTTTACTTCAACAAGACAACAACTAACGGCCCAAGCAAAACTGTAGTACCACGTGATAAATAACTGCCACACAGCAAGCGAAACAGGCAGTCTACATTTGGGAGTTTCAACAGCCAATGCCGGTCCAAAACCTAAAGGATCCACCGGCGCAATGCGGCCGGAGACCGAGAGGGAGCGGCGTCGAGAACATGACGACGGGACGAATCACGTAGGTCGCACAAATCCAAAACCGCAAACATGGCAGAGATTTTCACCAGTTCCACTACCGGAAGCACCTCCTAAAACCACCAGAAACACCGGGCAATCTGAACCAGTGGGGGACAAACAGAAGCGTTCCTTGGCCGCGGCGATCGCATCTCCCAGGCCGAGGCCGTCCCCTGGATCCCACATTCGCTCGCAAACTCTCCGCTCACCCACGCTAAGCGCCGCCTCGCCAGATCTCGGCGTGGACAGTGGAGAGAGGCTTACCAGATACCAGATCGCGCGAAGGAGAAAGCAGGCGGCGGGCGGGGGGCGAGGGGGCGGGGAGTCGGGGAGGCGGCGGGAGCTGGCCGCCGCTGTGCGGCGCTCGGGGAGGGGAATGGCGGAGGAGGAGGGGGAGGGGGCGGTGGTCGGTGGTGGCAGTGGCACTGCTGTGTTGCTGCGCCTGCTGGTGTGGCGGTGTTGGCTGTGGGGTGTGGCCGTAGTGGAGTTGGTGTGTGGGATCGGCGCGACGTGGCGGTCGACGAAGCGGTCACCGGGCGGTGCGCCCCGGGCCAAGGAGGAGGATGCGGCGGTCGACGCTTGACTCGCTGACCGGATGACACGACTGAAAACAGATTATTATTATTTTTATTAAATCAGGATTTGGAGCTGTGGATCGGCAGAGTTTGGACTATGGGGTCGTGAAATCTAAAGAACATCCGTATCATGTTAAATAATTCAGGAAGGTACCTTCATTTTCAAATTATTTGTTTTAGATGTGTTTAGATACGGATGTATCTATCTAACCCTGGGGCGGAGGAAGTATGAAACTCTACGAGAGAAATGCATATGACACCCCCCAACTCTAGTCCTAGTCTAATATACACCCCACAACTCCAATACCGTCTAATATACACCCCCAACTCTCAAAACTGGCCATAATTCAACCCTCCCTTCCCTGTTGACCGGTTTTGACCCAGTTTAACCGGTTTTGACTGAGTGAACAATAAAAATAAAATTTTAAAAACCATAAATATTTTTTTTGAAAAATTTCAAAAATGTTCCAAGTTTTTTTCACCGCGTGAACAGTAAATTAAAAAAAATCACCTTTTCAGCATGTTTGGACACCTGAGTAAATTCGAGATGTCCGTAAACTCGAAGTTTTTTTCAAAATTTCAGCTTGGTGAACAGTAAAATCGGTTTTTTTAAAACCCTTTTTTGCATGGATGATGTTTGAGCGCGTGGTGATTTTTTTTGGATTTTTTTCCCGAAATACTGTTCACCATGCTGAAAATTTTGAATGTTTTTCGAATTTACGGACATCTCGAATTTACTCAGGTATCCAAACATGCTGAAAAGGTGATTTTTTTTTTGATTTTACTGTTCACGCGGTGCAAAAACTTGGAACTTTTTGAATTTTATCAAAAAAATATTTTTTTTGTTTTTAAACTTTTTTTTACTGTTCACTCAGTCAAAACCGGTCAAACTGGGTCAAAAACAGTCAACAAGGGGGAGAGAGTTGAATTCTAGCCGGTTTTGAGAGTTGGGGGGTGTATTTTAGACGGTATTAGAATTGAGGGGTGTATATTAGACTAGGGCTAAAGTTAGGGGTGTAATATGCACTTCTCTCAAACTCTACTCTGTAAAAGTTTCATTTGGTAAGTGGGCATATATGCCTCTAATGAGTTGAAAACGCAACCTCAGAGCATCTGTAACAGGTGATTTATAATAGTCTTGGTGATGTAAAAACTAACTTTTTACATCACATGGGGCCAAAAATTTATAATAGTCTTGGTGATGTAAAAACTAACTTTTTACATCACATGGGGCCAAAAATGCCTCTCCAACAGGTGATCTAGACCTATACAGTGATGTAAGTATAATTGTGGGCCAAGTGATCTCAATCAAACGGCTGTAAGGGCGTTCGATGGGAGTTCCTTCCCCACGAACGTCCGCCAGTTAGCATTATCATAGAAAAAAGCTGCCATTATTCAAGCGAAAACAAATACGAGTGGAGCACTGGACTGGTTGTTCTCTCGACCTTAGCCTTGCCGTTCTCGTCACTGGAGCTTTAGCCTAACTCTTCTTCTTCTTTTGTCATGCAACGACCTTTCAGAAACTGAGAGCCTACAACCTTACCCTTCTCGTGGCTGGAGTACTGGAGTGGTTGCTCGAGACAGCCCACTTTTAGCCAACCAAGTATTGCAAATGACTCGTTTCATCGTGTGTCCATCTTCGTCTTACCACACATCATGTCTTTCGTCTCCGCCACGAGCCGCCGGCATTCTGTTTCTGGCCGCCGCCATGCATCAGTACGTCGCAGGAGCCGCACCCGCTGCTGCCGTCCACCACGTCGTCGGAGGCGACCCGGGCTGGGCCGTGGCCTCCGACGTCCTCGCCTTGTTCGGCGGGCAGGCTCTTCACGGTCGGGGGCACACTATGTACTATGTAAGTCCACCCCACCCGTACGAATCGCGTTGAAGAATCAGCATCTTTCAGCTACACCATAAATTGACCTTTCGATCTCAGGGTTTGCGTCTGAGGCGGCGGAGGCCGGCGTCGCCGAGGCAGAGTTCGAGTCGTGCGAGGCCGGCGACGCCATCAGAACGTACACGGACGGGCTCAGCAGGGTAGGCCTCGACGACCAAGGCACGAGGTATTTCCTCAGCGCAGACCCCGCCAGGTGCAGGGCGGGCTGAAGCTGCGGGTCGACGTGCGGGCTACGGTGTCGCCGCGGTCGGAGAACCGAGCTGCCACAGCGGCGCCCGCGCCGTCCGCGTCGAGTGGCACCCAAGCTGGTGCGCCGTGTGTTGCGTCTGGTCTCCGTGTGGTGCTTTCTGTTCCTGGGCGCATGAACACGACGATCGTGCTGTGTTTGATCGGGTTATGACGGGGAACGCCATGATTACACGCATATGTATGGCATCCTATGTGTGTACGTCATGTACTATAAATCAATCAAATCAAATCAAATTTTATCAAAACCTTAGCTAAATCAAAAAAAAACTAAATCAAATCCTATCTTACCAAAACCTCGACTAAATCAAAAAGCTTCTTAGCCTTCACTTACTCATACTCAAATCAAATTAAATTACCAAAGACTAGAATATGATAGGTATAAGATTTATGTCAGGCATGATTAATGTTTAACCATTAGATTATGTATGCCCTCGGTGCAACAACAATTCACTAGTACAGGTAACGACTCACTTATTTCATAGCTCATTGTCAGACGAGTTGTACTAATATAACATTGCGGTGTTTTCACTTTGGTTCATTTCATCACCTTCGCATGGATGCAGTCTAAGGTAAGCTCTCGTCTCCTTGGCACAAGTTGATCATGACGGCAAATGTCATTATTATGACAAACGATTCAGTCCCCAGTCAAAGCATGTCTAATTACAGCATCGCAGATTAACACAGAGCAACAGAACGAATTCGCTAACTAGAAACGCATAATGAACCACATAAAGTACAACAACCTCACGAGGCACCAAGAGGCTCCGGGCATCTGCATAAATTCAAGGGAAACCCGTGTCAGCAGAAATGAAGAATGAGCTGGGCGATGCCGACAAACTGGTGTAATAATAACCTATCTGGTGAGCGTGTTTCATTCAAGGGGCAAACCAGTCAAGAACACAGATAGAAGGATTTTAAGAGAGGTCGGGGTGCAGAACAAACCTCGACGAAAATGGTTGTCCATCACTAATAAATCTAAATAGGTGATCCTGGAGAATGAAGAGAGCATGGCTAATCACTGATGCTAGCTGATCTACTGGTGCATCCTTCATGCCCCACATCTGTTGAAGATTAAACATAAGGTCAGGTACAAATTGCTAAATCTGAAAGGGTTTAGCAATTACAATTTGAAAAGGCGGATGGGGGTATGACATTTGTTTGTTACACTAGGTCTCATCTGTGAAGCACATACTAGACCATGAGGATTCAGTTAGGCCACGGTTGCATCATAAGATTCTAAATCAGCTATAGAAACAGCCAATTTTGAGTAAATTTTCCACTATGACTAAAACATATATTTATGATAAGCTAATAACTGGTTGGATTAGAAACGCACCTGCAAAAGTAAATTGGATGCAACACTAATATCTGAATCTAGTTGTCTTCTCTTAGGGCCGCACTGCAACCCACAAGGTCACCCTCCTCAGTCTCCTGTCTGCATAAAGCTTCATCTGTAGCGGGTAGCACCCCATTTGGAATTAATTGATGGTTGTTATGATGACCTGACAATTCGCTGAAGTCAGACTTATCTATGCATGCCTCTTCATGGTGAGGTTCTCCTGCTCCATTTTCAGTTGATCCATCTGCTAGTTGTGTGTGATCTGCTTCTATTCCAGCAACAATGGTCATCTCCACATCTTTGACTGCAGATGTCGCTTCAGATTGGGGCTTTTCTCCAATACCAACGTTGCTTTTTTCATCCATTACTGATGTCATTTCCACATCTTTGATCAATTGTGGCTCAGAGGTTGCCTGAGTTCCAGCATTATCTTCACCAGCGATTTTTTCTTCCATAGCAATGTTGCTGCTTTGACCTATGGGGATTCCAGTGCTGGTAGTCATCTCTACATCTTTGATTGTATGTGGTTCAGAGGTTGCTTTAGTGTGGGCTTTCTCCTCCGCAACAACAGCGCTACCTTGATCTATTGGTTTTTCTTTGTTAGTAATGTCCACATCGTTCTCTGTATCTAGCTCTGGCTCAGAGGTTGCTCGAGTCCCCTTATTATGTTCACTGCCAATATTGCTTGCTTGATCCACAGGTGTCACATTTTTATCAACCATTTTCATGGCTCCGCCCGGGGCTTCAGACTGTGCTTCAGACTTGATCTTCGTATCAGCAGCAATAGCAGAAGAATTATCTGGACAATTTGCCCTAGAAGTGACTGTAGATTGCTGCCCGTGAACGGTATCATTGGGTGAATCCACAGAGTGCAAAGATAATTCACTACCAGCAGTGAATTCGCATCCTGTACTGCTGCATGATTGCTCATTCCATTCCATATCATTAGAGGAGGTTTCAGCATTATTAGCATTTCCTTTTGCAGGCCCGGAGATGGAAACTGTTTGTGATTGCGAGAGATCAGTAGCAGCATTCAGAGCCAATACAGGACTGTTTTTTACAGTGTTACCAGTTTTCATGGAGTTTGGCTTGATAATGTTTCCATTTGTAGCAAGCGCTTGGTGATTTCCCTTTGCAACCGTATTTCCCCCCACTCGCTGAACAGAAAACTGTGTTCCACCAACAGGTGGACCAGACTGTGATGTTACAACAGTTCTTGTAACCTTGCCATATTTTGGTGGAAGGGGTTTACCCTTGCTCTGTGCTGCACATGTTGGACAATGCCAGTCAGCTATAGGAACACCTTTGTTACCATAATGCTGAAGGCACTTCAAGTGTGCTCCCCTCTCACAAGCATCACAAACAAGCAAACTGTTTGCATCCATGATAGCAACTTTGCATATTTGGCAGTCCAAACGAGCTTGCATATACTCAGTTGATGGTGGAGTCCAGCTAGGATGATTAGCAGGTTGTTGCAGAACATTTTGAACACTTTTCGCTATTGCATTGTGGTTGGCAAAAATAGGTTTTGGAGTAACAGAAGACGCTGTCCCTGGTGTAGCCTGATGCCCCATAACAGGGTTTACGGTCACAGCTTGAATTGCCGCTACCTTTGTGTCCTGATTTTTCACGACCTGATTGTTACTTGCAGCAGCATTTGAATTGGACCTAGCAGATGTATCGTGAAACGGTTTGTTCAAGTGGCCAACAGACGCTGCAGCAGTGGGCAACACAGCCAAATTAGTTTCTGAGCTAGGAAAACCAAAAACAATCACACATACCAAGATTATTTTTAGACATGGGAGGAAGTAATAGAGTGAAACTGAGTACGAAAGCACCTTTAGGAATAATTCTCGAGTAAAGTTTTAAATTCTATATGAAGAGTAGCTTAGACAGTTTCAGTTATCCATAACCATCATATTTAAGGAGTTCACAATACAAAACATTTATGTAGAAGTAAAATCATAGGCAAAAGCAAGACATCGTTCCAGAACCAAGCAAACATGTTACAGCGTTTAATCTACACTCTAGAAAGAATGGTATTCATGAGCTAAAAACATCAAGTGTTTACTTAAAGAATGAAATGCTGTAGACAAGATGATGGAGCAGTACCTCGTGTTAGATTCAAAGGACCATTAACACCTCTTTCCGACTTAACATGTGGTTGACCAGTTTGGGATAGTGCAACAACTGAATGGTTGGTAACTGGCTTTACAGGAGATGATCCATGCTGTTTCAAGGCCATTACAGAGGTAGAAGTTACTGGGGCAGTAGTAGGCAAGGCTGCAGCACCTGGTGGGGTCCTATGAGATCCAACAGCAAACATGGGAGTCCCATGCGGCTGGAATTCAGCTGTTCCACTCGAGACAGTCGTTTGAGGTGTGATTGCTGTTGGTTGAACTGGAGATTCCTTGACTTCTTCCATCTATATAACAAAAGAAGGTAGCCAAAATGATCCATGAGCAGATATATATTGTGTTTAGCATAGACCAGAAATAATTCAAATGAATTCAGCAGCTAGGATTATTAGTTAATCTCATAACAGTTACTAGCTAGCCAAGCAATACATAATCAGTAGATAAAAAAAATCCATATCCAAATGACCAAGTTAAACATCGCTGTGCTTTAAAGTACACTCATATACACACAGTATAGTAAATGACATCACAAAGATAGAAGCAGTAAGCTTAACAGAGGTAAATTCAGAACGAGACCAAAGTCACAGACGTTAATTTTAGAACCCTGAAAAACATAAAGCTAAATATTTACCCGCTTTGGCTCCCGAGCCCCAGTGCACTTGTTATCTTGGCCATCTGCTGCTATGTGAGGTGTCAAATCAACGCTTGTACAAGGCCTAGTACTAAACCGTATATGATACTGTATTTCTAGTTCTCTCCTTGTATTTCTCTCTCTGCCACTGCCAGGGCCATTAACTAATATCCCAGAACACATGTCCACGTAGCATTGCATATCTGAGTATGCTTGCAAGGTATTATCACGTAGGCTGCCCTAGTTGCCTACCTAACATAGCACGTGCTTTGTTACTTATTCTTTTTTAATTCATTATTCCAGCAATTCAATTTTTTCCTTGCTATAATATCTCAGAGATAATTATTTTTGGAAATAATTGCTCATCATAGTAAAAAAAAATATTACTTCCCAAATTTAGCTATTTGTTATTTTTTCATTTCTACAATTTCCTACAGTTCATGATATAACTTATTAGTATGATTAATGCTTTGCGCACATTAAATTCCACCCAAAGCAATGCTGACTTTAGCTAATTACGTGTCCCACGCAGCTACCCTTCAAAAGCATTGTAATCTTTTTGGTGAGGTAGAAAAGAAAGGATCGGGTCCGGAATGTTGATATACATGATAGAGCTGGGGTAGCACCAATTGAAGAGAAGCTTGTCCAACATCATCTGAGATGGTTTGGTTTGGGCATATACAACGTGCATAGCGGAAGGATAAGCGTGCTGATGATATCAAGAGAGGTCGGGGTAGACCGATGATATCAAGAGAGGCCGGGGTAGACTGATGATATCAAGAGAGGTCGGGGTAGACCGATGATATCAAGAGAGGTCAGGGTAGACCGGTGATATCGAGAGAGGTCGGGGTAGACCAAACTTGACATGGGAGGAGTCCATTAAGAGATATTTGAAGGACTGGAATATCACCAAAGAACTAGCCAAGGACAGGGGTGTGTCGTACGTGGAAAGTAGGGACGGCAATGGCCTTTGGCCCCATACCTGCCAAACCCATGGGGATTTCATCTATTAGGGGGTGGGGATTGGCAAAAACCTTCCCCATAGGGATACTTACCAAACTAGTTTATTCCCGTAGGGTACGATGGGGATGGGGACAATACCCTCTTCCCCATACCCAATTCCATCGGTAACCCACTTTTTAAATATAACACTTGGACCATGTATATGCCTATATATACACAATGCGGTCAACCCTAACAATTTCACAAACAAATTCGCAGGACAACAAAAGCCTTGAAAAACTTTAACCCTACCTTACCTCAGTCTCCGCCATGACGAAGAAGTCAAAATGGACAAGATTGGCTGCAACTTGGACAAGGCAACTCCGTAGCACTAGGTCCAAAGGTAACACATCGTCTTATCCGGGCATGTTGCTGCCTTACTCAGCCACTACCCATTCACCAGCTAGAGTGCCTCATTATATTCATATATTCATATATGATTATTTTATGGGGAAAGGGGGAACCAATGGGGTCCCGTTCCCCAATGGGGATGGTATGGGCAAATTTCATCCCCGGTCATGTAAATGCGGATGGGGTAATTGGTAATAGATGGGGATGGGGATGTCAGGGCCCCCAATAGGGGATTGTCCCCATTGCCATCCCTGCATGGAAGTTAGCTATCCACGTGCCAGAACCATAACTAGGCTTTGAGATCTTATGGGTTTCAACTCTAGCCTACCCCAACTTGTTTGGGATTGAAAGGCTTTCTTGTTGTAATAAGTTTGGTGTAGACGAATTAGAGGAATGTTGGCTTAAATGAATCAGAACAAGCCTTCTACAATTGGACTGGTGGATTCTTATCATTCCATTTTTACACATCCATGATTTTCGATAACTTTTTTGTGAGGTTAAACATAATAGCCCTGTATAACTTCTCATTTCATCTGTACACATCCATTAGAACTTTGCTTGCTTACCTTTTTTGCAAGGTTAAAAAGGCAGTATAATTTATTTACGTGCCAAAATCACGATCAAAGTGTCATAGCTGAGCCCCATGGTTTTCGAGTCACGGCTCATCTGAGTCGCTCCGGGGTAGCGACTCGGAAAGTCGAGCCTGCAGTTGCGACTAGTCGCGACTCGTGACTCGAGTCGACATTTTTTTGCGACTCATCGACTAGTCGACAACTAGTTGCGACTAGTCCCGCGACTCGAAAACCATGCTGAGCCCACCTATCTCATGTACGCGCACATCACCCGCTGATGAAATTAATATCCATTGTGCACGTCCTGGACGCACTGAAACACGCTGTTTTCCTATACATATCCCTTGTATTACTATTGTATACTCCCATATATATTGATTAAATAACCATTTTGGCACAGATCACAAGTCAATGTCTGTCGGACAGGATTCCAAGCACCAGTGTGCTCGGGAGCCCAAAACCTGATTCATAAATATTTGCTCAATATATGTGCATGAAAAAAGCAGCTCTATTAGCATGGTCACATCACGTGCTGGAATATCCGGAATCATAGGATCTTCGACTCGGTTTATGATTTGGACCAATCAGTTTGTAGATGTTACCATAGAAGGCACTTTGCAGCCTTTACCGTGGTAAAATGATAATAATGGCTAGATATCCCTACCCCAGGTTTTCTTCCTGTAGTTATTTTTCAAGCGTT